TCAGACACGCACACAAACACCCTCTGACACACACACATACACGCACTCTCACGGACGAACCTTTTGAGGGACACGCGCAATCCAGCCGGTAAAACAGAAGTGAAGAGCACTGAAGCACTGGAGGTCTGAGGACAACTGCAGCTAGTCTGTTCAACAGCAGCCCGGCCTCCTCTCTCCCTCTCTCTCTCTGAAAAATCGGCTAAAATCTGGCTCACACTCAACTTTTCCCCTCCTTGGCTGACTGCCTGTCTCTCCCTTCCTTCCTCTCACCCCTTCTATCTCTGCTTCTTTCCTCCCTCCTCCTCTCTCTCTCTCTGAGCAGTAAATGTGGGTTCAGGTTGTTAGGCAGTGTTATTTGGGGTCCGGAGTCTCTTCTGCATTGCAGTTTTTAGAGAGGCAACAGGGAGGACAGCTCCAGAAAGCAACATGAGGGGTCCGCCAGCACCACAACTGCTGGGATACACATCGATTAACAATGACTGAGTGACAAGAGTTTGTCTGACTCCTATCAACAAGAGTGACACGCATCACTGTCCCGTACTGTGGAAGACACATAAATGAATATGAGCACACCGTACATGTATATGTGTGTGTTCGCCTGTAAAGTTACTGCGACTTTGAATATGTGTCTATGTCCCTCTCTCACACATCCATGATAAATGGGCAGAATTGAGTTTCCTATGACTCTGCATTTCTCAACCCCACCCCCTCTGGTATTGACAATAGGCTGCATCAGCAGTGTCAGGTTTTCCTGGATAAGGACAATTGTCATCTGAAACCAGAAATTGTGTACTTGGGACTCCTAGAAATCTATGTAAACTAGGATGTGCTGTAAATGGGTATGAAGAGCTGCATTTGTATTTATTGGTGAATCATTGGAAAAAGAAGCCATGATGAGTATGGTTTTTTTCTTATGCTAAACAGAGGACCAATGATCAGTTATTTAAATATTGAGGAAACATCAAGCGGTCATCTGCCATATTCCAGGACCATTTGTTGTTAGGATGTCAAAAAGTTTTCTACATAGCTAAAAGTTTTACAAGTTATAGCTACATTTTAAAGCTGATCTGCCTCAGCAGGCTAACAGTGCTCGTCAAGATTAAAATTACTGAGATGGTTAATCAAATCAAAGAAAAGTCATTCCCGCATGAAGCTTTCATTTTAACTATTAAATAGAGCAATGTAAGACGCCAGTAACATTCCGTTGCAACTGTTTAACAATAGAGTGTCAGTAATATCCAGTCATGCAATCTACTGAACTTTTTGCACCTTTTTGGCCTCTAAATAAAGTTTTTTGGTCACACTTTAGTTTGGGGACCAATTCTCATTATTAACTAACTATTAACAATATGACTTTTTCCTCAATAAACTCCTAATTTGCGGTTTATGAATAGTAAAGTAGTTGTTAGGTTTAGGTATGGGGTAGAATTAAGGAATCTAAAATATGGTCATGCAGAATACGATATTAATATGTGCTTCACAAGTACTAATAAACAGTCAATATGCTAGTATGCATGTTTTTTTTTTTTTTTGTGAGAAATACCATTATGTGTGCAAGCTCCTCTCCTTGTTGAACTTTGAAATGTTTTTTTTTTTTAGCTTACACACCATAATATAGTATCTACTAACTCCTTCAGTATTTGGCTGTGATGTTTTAAGGTTTTTTTAAAGGCTGTTTTCATATATTTAAGGCTGTTTTCATATATTTTAAAATAAAAATATAGTCACACTTTATTTTATGGTCAAATTCTCGCCATTAACAAACCATTAACTATGACTTCTGCCTCAATAAACTTGCTCCTTATTAATAGTTAGTAAGGTAGCTGTTAAATTTAGGTATTAGGTAGGATTAGGAATGTTTAATATTGTCATGCAGAATATGTGCCTTATAAGTACTAATAAACAGCCAATATGTTAATAACAGGCATGCTAATAGCAACTAGTTAATAGTGAGAATTGGTCCCTAAACTAAAGTGTTTCACATTTGTTAAATGTTTGCTGGAAGTTTGAAAAACAGAAATGCAAAATTAATAGTTGAAATTTTCAATATAAAGATTTGAAGTTTAAATGTATGTTAATGTTGATGGAAAATTCTATATATAGTTTAAACTGGAAGTGAAAATTATAGTAAAAAAATTGGTCCCATATTACAGTATGTTACCAAAAATATTATTTGCAAATACATCACTATTTGGTGGGGACATTTTAAGCTTGCATTATTTATTTATTGCTGTTTTTGCTACAAATATGATTTGCAAACAGTTTAAATTAATTACATTATAATGAATCCAGGTCTTTCTTTTTATTTCCTTAAATCCTTTACTGCAGTAGAAACTGGTTGGGAGTTTTTGTCTTGTGTCTCCTGTGTTTCTTATTGCCCTATCATGTCTAGCTCTCTGCTGACTCCAGATACTGCTTTGCTTAAAACAATCCTCTTTTCTCAAAACAGGCCCTTGTTTAAGCCCCTCCACTGAGGACTGCAAACCACACATGAATGCTTACTGCATCATCCCCATATGGACATGAGAAGTAGCATAATGATGTTGCAGCATTACATGGTTTCTGTTGTGCCAAGAAAACTGGCTGATACAAATGCTGTAAACATTTAGATATCATCACTAAAACTTTCTTAAAGGGATAGTTCATCCTTGCTAATGTTGCTTGCTAATGTTGCATAACCAAAGAGTTAAAAAAAAAAAATTAATAAAAATTTCATACTCAAAATAAATATTTTTATAATACACAGAAAAAAGAAAATCATACAGTTTTGGAATGAATTGAGGGTGAGTAAATTATGCTATAATTGTATTATATTTATTTTTGGACTATCCTGTTAAGCAGTGTCTTGAGAAATACTAAGTAATATATTGACTGAGTAATATTAACAAACAGCATGCACTTACTATAGGGTTAGAGCATTTTTTTTTTTTTGGTGTGGGGGGAGGGGGGTGGTAGTTGCATGTAATTATACATAACTAACTTTTATTACTACATTAAATACATATTATTTTCGAAAAATACATTTTTTGGTCACACTTTAGTTTGAGGACCAATTCTCACAATTAACTAACTCCTAATTTGCTTCTTACTGATTGATAGTTAGTAAGGTCATAAGTTAAGTTATGCTTAACTTATGGGGTAGGGGTAGGATTAAGGGACCTAAAATATGGTCATGCAGAATAAGACTTAATATGTTAATTAATATGTGCTTTGTAAGTAATAATAAACAGCAATATGCTAGTAATATACATGATAATATGCAACAAGTAATAAGTAAGAATTTGTCCCTAAAGTGTTTCACTTTTTTTTTTTAATGTTTGGTGGAAGTTTGAAAAACAGAAATGCTAAATTAATAGTTGAAGTTAAAGACACACTCTCTTGCACTTCAATATAAAGATTTGAAGTTTAAATTTATTGTTTATGTTGATGGAAAATTCTATATATAGTTTTAACCAGTTTTAAACACCTCTTTGCTTTAATTTCAAATATGCATGCTGCAAATATGCAAGTCATTTCAAACTATGACAAATAAATCCCAAAATATTGAATGTATTCTCTCAAATAAAATAAGCTCATAAAACAACACAATTAATTATTTAAAAAAAAAAAAGAAGCAAGTTTTCGACAAAGTATTGTGTGTCACAGGTCACATCAAGTATCCAGTATACATATACACATATACAGTATCGACAAGTGAGGCGTCAAAAATATCCATGCTGATAACATCACAGTGTAAGACACTGGGACAGTGCAGAAGTGTGCGTGTGTGTTTGTGGGATGAGGGCTGCAGTTTGGAGTTCTACGCTCCGTTTTGAGGCTGCTCTGCAGCGAGTGCTGCACTGACGGTGGCGAGGGTTTTTTCTGCTTTTCTGGACCAGTTCCCACCAATGCTGCATTTCTTTCTCATCAGACACACACACACACACTCAGAGGTGTACTCTGCTGGTGCAGCAAAGTGTCTGGCAGGGGACGAGCCTCTTTCAGCACACTCTGGTATACCGCAGTGAGTGAGCAAACACATACACACACACATACAGGAAGTCAGGTTCTCTATTTGGTTGAAACAATTGAAAATCTATAAATTCAATTACTCCTTTTAAGTCTAGGACTTAGAAGTCCCTCATCCATCTTATTACAACACACACACACACACACACACACACACACACACAGCATCAGAAGAACACAGCGTGTGTTTATAATTAACAGGCTCATGACTGACCTCAGATCAATGTAATGTAACAAAATATACTGTGTCTTGTCTCTGTCTCTTAAACACATGCTTTTAAATTACATCTTCTCAGTGTGCTAAGTTTTGCTATAATAATAAACACACATTTATGTTCTGATTACAGCCATGTTTAACAAAGGAGCCTGTGCAAAGTTGGTCCATTTGAGGGAGAAGGATCTCTGGCTGTTCACTGTATTGAATGAAACTCTAACTCATGTTATCACTATTTTATGACAGACTTTACAGCCACCAGAGGGTGCTTTTTCATATTTATCATTTGCAATATTTATTCAGCCACAATGTTCATTTATTTTCTTCTTCTTATTATTATTATTATTTTGCAGATATAATGTTCAATTCTTGTTTGTGTTTTTACCATGACTAAATCAGTCTACTTTGAATAAACACTTTAATAATCATAAAATCTGTCAGTTTAATGGAAGCACAACCAAAACTAGGATAGCTAAATTTAAGTTAGAATTTAACCCTTGCAAAAAAAGGGTTACATAAACATAAACTGGCATACAATCAGACTCAATGGGGGTAGAAAAAATAATAATAGAAAAAATAAAACATTTGTGGTTTTTATGGCTTTTAAAACTAGCTTAACCATGTCAAAATTTAAAAGAGAACATAACACTCACAAAAAAAAAAAATCTAAAAGTTTTTTTATTTACTTTTAAAATGTGTAAATTAAAAGAAAAACATATAAACATTTGTAAAATCCAATAAAACAGTAATGTAATAAAAAATAATTTGATATGAACAGACAAGTACAGTATTTTATTTGAAACTAGGATTAAAGGATGAATTTACTAATTTGAAAGATATTTTCTAAATAGCAAAATCCATGCAGCATTGATGAACAGAGAATCCCAGAACACTGAAGATTTGAGATGGGCAGTACAAAGAACAATAAAGGTCCAGGTACTACATTTGTTTCTCTTTGATCCATCCATTCTACCTTTATTTACAAAATTTGTTACTGGTTTTAGAATTTATATTGCTCCCTTAAATGGATAGGTTTTTTTGTTTTGTTTTGTTTTTTGCTGCACAGGTTTACTGTATGTAACGGAAACGGCTGTAAAGTAGTGCAAAAGACAAACACAGAATGAAGAATGACAAAAATTCTCAATCATACTTATTGGCAGCAACAGTCAATGAAGTCAGAGTTTAAACACATATAAACACTTCATATCTCTCATCTTTTTAAGAATACAAAAGATGGATGATATCACTTTATATATGAAATTTTACCTCACCTTAAGTTTTCATACACAAGTCAAAAATAAAAAAAGGTTATGATAACTAAAAACATATCTCTGTAAAGTTAGATATTGTTATTTCATATAATTAGAAAATCCTGTGTTGAAATATGTTATCACTAGTAGTTAAAGATGGGTTAGTCCAGACAGAAAACTAACTGAGTCAGGCATCCTCTCTCACAGCACCTGATCCTTTGATTTGTGGTTCTCCATCTCAACAACCATATCATCGTCCTGTCTCCGGAACACCCGCACAACAATATAAATGATGAGGATCAGGAGAACAACGCCAATGAATCCACCCACAGCTATTGCCAGAATTCCAATTTCAGAGAATGAAACTATAAGAAGAAAACAGAAAGTATTCTTAATGCTCAGCTGCCTTATTGAATGTTTATTTTATTCTGATTATTTTCAAATGTATGTTCTTATTAACATTATTATCATTTTTATTACCAGTACTGGCATCTTGTTTTATTTATTTTTCCTGCCACCGCTTTTATTGTATATACTGATGATTTGGCAATACTGTATAAAATAATTATGCCCATTAACACAGCTGGGTAGTAACTGATTACATGTAATCTGGATTACGTAATCAGATTCCAAAAATTAAGTACTTGTATTTAGATTAAATTAAATTTTAAACTACTCATAATCAGACTACAGTTATTTTATTGATTAAATAATTATATATTATTCACACAATATCAATAAATTATTCATCATTTATTGATACTCCCCAATTATTTTTTTCCATCTTTTAAGTCTTCCTTTCTAATTAATTAGTAGCTTTTCATTAAACTCATGTCCCTCATGAACCCCAGTTTGTGAAACCTTAACATAATGTAATGTTTAATGCATTTCATGTTGTTAATAACAATGAATAGAATATATTTTACATTTACATTTAGCAGACGGTTTTATCCAAAGTGACTTACAATTGAGGACAATAGAAGCAACCAAAGCCAACAAAACAGCAATAATATGCAAGTGCTATGACAAGGCTTGGTTAGCCTAAAGCAGTACATGTAGTGAGGTTTATATATATACACACACACACACACACACACACACTGTATATATATACTGTATGTATATATGTATATATATACAGTGTGTGTGTGTGTGTGTGTATATATATATATATAGAGAGAGAGAGAGAGAGAGAGAGAGGAGAGAGAG